TGTCCGAGCGGTCAAAATGATCCTTAGACCTCCTTCTTTCATAATCAGTAATTAGAAAGATGGTTATCAGCCTCCGTTGGTACGAAAAACGTAAAATATATCTAGAAGAAATTGGAATCGCCACACCTATGGTTGCACCTGACTTGCGAGCACTTGGATTTGTACGCCGATGGTTGGCAGTAGTGAGTACACCCCCTGGCCCGGTCCACCATATTGTACCCCCCCCCCCCCCAGGTCCTCTGGGGAGGGGGTGGAGGAGAGGGGGGTCCCACTGAAAAAAAAAAAATATTTTTTTGATTTTTTTTTGGTGGAGGTCAAGATGTGGGCGCTAACCCAACCTAACCTAAGTCAGGGGGAGGTCTCACCTACCCTTCGTACCCCCCGAGGTCCCTTGGACTGACCTAACCTGCGAGGAGGGGGAGGTGCGCTTAATGGGTGCGCGCGGGGCGCCTGTGAGGTAGGCCGCCCGCCGCGCTCTGTCCCTAAGTCTCCTGCGCGCCTTGGCGACCCATCGGGCCTGCTTGCTGTCTCCCGAAGCGCCTCATCAGACAGATATCATTGGCATTATTTTTTTAGGGAGTTTTGTCATTTTATGATTTTTTTGTGTTTTCAGTTATTTTCTTTACAGCGCTTGCTCACTTAGGTGAGTTGAGGTACACCTGCATCCATAAACCCACACGCTTCGCATTGCGCGCGGCACACGTTTTGGAGCTGTGAGAGCCTACGGTATCATTATGACAAGGTGCCCACGCCTTGGGTAATTTCCTCAGACTGGGACATCCAAATTTCTCTACATCAAAGATTTTCTTTGAGGGTACCGCGAAACGGGGAAACTTCGGACACTTTTGATAGGTTTTTTTGAAATTGTGAAAGTCGTGGTGCTGTCATGGACTTGAGGGTTAGACGCTGTCTATGTGGGAAAAACAGGGTTTTCGACAAAGGTTGTCCAAATCAAACCAAACTTCGTTTTGGGTTCTCCTTGACCCAAAGACCTGTCAAAAAAAATTTTTAAATTTTTTCGACAAAATTTGTCGAAATAGGAAATTTTTTTTATTTTACTCAAAAGACGCGGCAATTGATTTTGAAAAAAAAAATTTTTTTTCAAAGGTCAATTAAGGAGGAACATTTTTAGTTGTGTCCCATGTCTGGTCTGCTTAGTTAATTGATACCCACCATTTTACGTTACGTGATTTTCTCATTTTTACCTAAAAAATAAGAAAATGCCCCTTTGCCGGTCAATTTGATTATAACTAGAGTCAAACTGAAGATATTTTATCTTTGTGAACCTCCTTCCATGCCTAACACACTATCTGGTTCCCCAAATAAACACAGTGTGTCCCAAAATACCATAACGGTCATTTAACATTACAGTTTGGAATAACGAGCACCATGTATATTGCTGGAGCAGTAGCAGCCCAACTAGTATTTGTCACTGAAACAAGATTATTATTCTTATCCAGTAATTTTCCTTTGACTTAGAAGAACAAAATAGATGATTATTCATAATATGCTTCAATTGAGCAGACGGATGTTGTTTCCCCACAAATTGTATCGTAAAGAGTGATAACAAGAATTTTGTTCTTCAACGACAAAATGTCGCTTACTAGACTCAACGACATTTGTTTCGCTTTGGTTCATGATGAAATTCTATGTTTTGGAAAGACTAAATTTTCACTCTTCTGATTGTTTTGTACAACCTTTTTTAACAGGTAGTTGGGCTGCTCTACTGCTACACGGTGCTCGTTATTCCCAAATGTAATGTTAAATGACCCGTTATGGTATTTTGGGACACACTGTGTTTATTTGGGAAACCAGATAGTGTGTTAGGCATGGAAGGAGGTTCACAAAGATAAAATATCTTCAGTTTGACTCTAGTTATAATCAAATTGACCGGCAAAGGGGCATTTTCTTATTTTTTAGGTAAAAATGAGAAAATCACGTAACGTAAAATGGTGGGTATCAATTAAACTAAGCAAGACCAGGACATGGGACACAACTCAAAATGTTCCTCCTTAGTTGACCTTTGAAAAAAAAATTTTTTTTTCAAAATCAATTGCCGCGTCTTTTGAGTAAAATAAAAAAAATTTCCTATTTCAACAAATTTTGTCGAAAAAATTTCAAAATTTTTTTGACATGTCTTTGCGTCAAGGAGAACCCAAAAACGAAGTTTGGTTTGATTTGGACAACCTTTGTCGAAAACCCTGTTTTTCCCACATAGACAGCGTCGTTAAAATTTATCATCTACCCACCTCAAGCTTTGATTTGGCGCTTATTTCAAATATCTGCACGTCACCGTTTTTACTGTGGAGGGTCCGAAGCAGTGTCCGAAATTACCCCGTGTTTTGGGGTAATTTCGGACACCTCTGGAAAAAACGACTTTTCGTTCTGATTTTGGTCCCAAAATCGATCACTGTCTCTTTCTAAAGTGCTAATATGATTATATGAGAAATTCGTAAGGATTTATATGTAATGGTAAGGTAGGGGTGGTCATTCATACATAATTTCAAGTCATGTTTTTGCACTCATATGTAGTTCGATTTCAGGAATAGTGGGTGGAACTAGTAGAGCCATTTAGTGTTGTAAATGTTGGTAACCATTAACTGACTATCTGCAGTATTTTATTTTTGTTATTCGCCCTACAACTCCACTATGTACACGCTGCTGTCTACCTCGTTATGTTCAGTCCAATAAACCGCCTCTTGCTTGTGAACCACCAAAGTGTCCAGATCTCTCTTATTTCCTCACCTGAATCAAACTAGGGCAGTCAAGTCGAGCACTTTTAACATTTAGAACGCTTCTATTTTTTAATCTTTGACCGATTAGCTTTCTCAGGCCACTCGGGCCATACTTTATTACGCGAAAGTGGATCTTAAATCTTCCTCTACAAGATTACATACGATCACATACATGCATATGAAAGGCAAGTAGTCGTGTCGTTTGTACGGTTAGGAAGATACATGGGCTCAGTGGAAAGCTTTGCATTTCAATTGTAGTAAACCGGCGAGCTATGCAGCCATTCGCCAAGTCCAACTCTCGTGTCACATGAAAGAAAATTAATCGCAAAACAGTCGTTGACACTAAGGTAGGACATGCACATAAAACTAAGTATTAAAGATGTAGCTTTGCCCCATTTTTATGAAATTTGAAGTTTACAAAGCAATTGCTGTAACAATTGGGGATTATCGTTGTTATTGGATTATCTTCAACTTTCAGAAGAGCTCTTCAGCTTCCACCACTCAAACCCTGCGAAATTGAAAGTGTTCAGGACATACCCACTCTCCCTGGCGTGACGTTTGTATGTCCGAAATTACCCCGTAAAGTAACATTTTTTTAGTTTTGAGCCCATATGAACCATACTATTTGACCCAGGTGATTGAAAATTTGACACAGTATGCTCTTAACATGATCGAATCGACAAACAATCACCTCATGAACCGGCCATGAACAGTTTCGGCTTGCCAGTCAAAGTTTTTACGCTTAAAGCGAATTTAGGTAAAAATGGTTAAATACAAAAACCACTCTTTCTCCTGAACTTTGCCCCTGATTTGGCCTCCGGGTGATTAATCAGAGGGTTTTAAGTGTGGCCGATGCGATGCGCGCAACGGGACAAGCCTCCAAGTTGGCCGTTAGATGGGAGCATCATCGCCATGCTTCCGGGCAGAGTTGTCCGAAATTACACCGAGTGTCCGAAATTACCCCGTTTCACGGTAAGAGGAATTGAAGAATTCTCTTCTTCTCATCCCCCTTCACGTAGAGGAAGTCATACTCCGCCGACATCTCGCTCAGAGTCTGAGGGAGCCTGTCGTAGGGCGAGAAGCCAGTTTCCCAGGGAAGGGAATGCAAGTGCCTCACGATGTATTTGTTTTGGCGCAGTTGCTTCTCGGGGATCTCATCTCCGGGGTAGGGTGGAGCGAAGGTGGCTGACTTGTGGATCTGGGCCGCTTCGTTCTGTTCATAGAACGAAACCTCCTTGAGAACGTACTCCCCGTACTTGCCCCGGAGCATCTGGATGTCGCAGATAGCGTAAGTCATCGTGCTGATGTGGACTGGTCAGCGACTGAACGGAGAATGATGCTCCTGCGGTCGGGGCGCCTGGATTTATACCCAGCGCCAGCGCCTCCAGCGCGCCCTCACGGGAAAAACTGGAAGTTGTTGGTGAAAAAGGCGCCGGCACCCAGCGGGACTCGAACCCGTGCCTCCACGCTCGGAGCGCGGCAGAACACACTCTCTAACCCACTGGGCTACTGCACCGTGCTCGCTTAGGGATGGAACGGTACGCATGTTTACCTGGGAGCACCGCACGGCCGCGCGCAAGTCCGAGCGTGTTTCGGCCGGTTTGAATTTTACCCGCCGCCGCGCGAGTTCCGTCAAAACAGGAAGCCGCCTTCCCTGTGCTACGCTACGCCACGCCATGCCGCCGGTGACGAGCCGAGCCGAGCGACACTACGCCGCGCCACGCTGTGCTGGCGCGCCCCACCCCCTTTGTCCACGACCTACCCGAAACTCTCATTCATTGTCCCCTTCATGCCGACACGTGTTTGATATCATTTCTCCGGCTGAAATATTTTTCTGGAATTATTGGCAATACTCTTCCTGTCATGTCTTGTCCGTGGGAAAACTGTCTGAGAGAAGCTGCTGGTCCAGAGCCCCCATCCCCTTCGCCCCCTCCCCTCTCCCCCCGCCGGTGTTTTCCGAATCTGCATAACACCTGTTGTCTACGCTTCAAGACTGTGTCAAGTGACAAGAAATAATATTTGAGAGATTTTGACGTCCTACATTTCATTTACTTTCGTCGTGAAATCGGAAATTATTTGAATTTGGCTGGCCTTTTGAACGACCGTTGCGCCCTCCGCCGGCCAAAAGTGGAAGCAACCCTTGCTTCCGCCCGGTCCAAACGCGTCAGTCAGTGTCCTCCTGTTGCCTGTATCAAAATGGATGAAGAGTTGGACTACGAGTTCGCAGATATTGAAGTGGATGAGGAGATTCAGCTCATCATGGAGCGAGAAGACGACGATGGCCTTAGTTTGGACGCATCTATGTCCATATTTATTGAGGTAAGTGAAAACTGTGACCGTGGGAACGTGTGTGTGCGACGCCGCCGGACCGCATGGCGTGCTTCGCCTCTAGGCCAGGGTCGCCTTGTCTTTGTTGTTAGACTCTCGTTTCGAATCATCACAAGTTTTTATTCAAGGGGTTAAAGTGAGCGTTATCACCCCTGTGTGTGCGTCGCAGTGTGGTCGCGTGTCGTGTTTCTGTTGATGCAGCGCAGCGAGTCGGGACGGCGTTGTTTTGTTTTGACCGTCAGTATGTCTGTCTCTCTAATTATTTTTCGCAGTGCTAATGAGTCTTGTATTTAAATTCACGTGTTATGAACGACTGTGCCGTCGCCACTGTAGGGAGGGGAGGGGAGGGGGAGCTGGGCCTTCCAGTGCAGGGCCACGCTGCTCGCACGGGGTATCGACGCTGTCGCAGGGTGTATTCCCGTCACATTATTTTCTCATTTGTTCTATGGTTCACTGATTTCAGACTTCTACCCCCTGGCCCGGCGCGCCAAGTGTGCCGTATGGCCCAAGGGGTATTTCACCCATTTTAACCTTAGAAGAGGAGGAGGAGCTGCTGGCGGAATTGGCGCGGGGTGTAGTGGTGCCAGAGGCTGCCCTTCCTGATGATGCAGGTGACCCTACTGTGCGAAGACGCACTAACCCTGCTCCTCTTGCATTGGTTTTTCCTGTTAGTCAATTTTTTGAATCCTTTCAAGAAGTAAAACTTAGTGTTTTCTTTTATTTCTTAAAATCAATGTGCTTTTTTTCAGGCTCGTGAGCGCAGGGTATTTCACGAAATCTGTTTGAACCCTAGAGTAGAGAATCCTACGTCTTCCGTTGAAAGAGAGTTAATTGAGTTGGCCCACAATACTAGGATCATTCCTTCTTCATCTTCTGCAGAGAATCCTACGTCTTTCTTTGAAAGAGAGTTAATTGAGTTGGCCCACAATACTAGGGTCATTCCTTCTTCATCTTCTGCTTATGATTTGGAAGAGGGTGAAATGCCAGATGATGATGATGATGATGAAGCAAGAGAAGACCCATCAAGTACTGTAAATGATCCTAAGAAAGTTAGTGTTCATTTTTTTTAAAAAAAATCGTGTTGCTGTGTTTTTGCAAGTAATGTTTTTAAAACTAATCTTTCTTTTCAGTCTGTATTTGATCGACTGGGTCCTAAATTGATTCCCTCACCTGAAACGGACCCTGAGGTGAGGTCTAAAAAGAAGAAGGCTCAGAGTGTACGTTATAGGAGCACCTATGTAGTAAGCATTAAAAATCTTTATGTCTTTAAGTAAACATAGTTAGTAAGAGAATGAAAAAAGGAACACTTTTCTACATTTTTTAGACGCCTGAGGACTTGACCGAGGCTTTAAATAGCGTAGAATCTAAGAAGAGAAAAGCTGCAGAGAAAAAGAAAAAGAGGGATACGGCTAAAATGCAGAAAAAGGATGAAGAAGCCAGAATTAAGGAAGTTGTAGGAAAGATGAAATTGAGTCTTGAAAAGAAGAAGGAAGAAGAAGAACAGAAAGAGAAGAAGGAGGAAGAAGAACAGAGAGAGAAGAAAGAAGAGAATGAATAGAAGGAGTGAGAGTGTTTTTCTTTTTAATTGTCTATCAGACTTTTTATATTTTTATATTTTTGCAAAAAAGGATAATACACTTTTATTTTTCATTGAAATTGACTTAGTTGTGTCTTTTATTTTTCTGTCCAAGGCCATGTCCTCTTTCTGAAGTAAGTTTTTCTGAGTGAAAGAAACTCATGGTTCCTCGATTGAAACCAACACAGTTCACTTTTATATTGATTTGAAACATCTTTTGGGTATGAGTGATAATTTTTTATCAAAACTATGATGGGGAAGGGCCTCTCGTTATGTTTTAGTTGAGTGACACTGTTGAATTAATTTATTTCTGACCTATGTTGTATTGGGCAGTTTAACCTTATAGTGTGTGAGTCGGTTTTGGTAATGTTATCTTGCCACAAGGAGCTGCTCAGTCAGTATTAACTTGCTGAGTGCCCCATTGATTTTAGATAGAGATTAAGTAGTGGAGAAGTTTCTCTGATAATTATTTTGATGAGATTTTAAAAAAATTTGGTTTAATTTTGAGTGGTAGAGACATTCAGTTTCTCGGCACTCATTCCAACGGAACAAGACACTAAATTGTTTGTACTGTAAGATTGACTCTTGTCTCCTTCTGTTTTTATCTATTTGAGCTTAAGCACATTTGGTATTTAGAGGCCAGAGTATCTTTTCATTAAAGGAGTGTAGAATTTATGAAGAAAAGTTGACATTTTGTTACTTTTACTTCAGAGAACTATTCTTTATTTTTGCAACTTATTTTGAGTTAGAGTGATAGACTCTCAGCAAGAATAGGAAGGGAATGAGCCTCTCGTTATGTTATAGTGGAGTGACACTCTTGAAATAAATTATTTCTGAGCAATGATATATGGACAACATAACCTATTGATGGCTGACTAGACACTAGGGATATGTAAAGGTGTACAGGGCAGCTGCACACTCAGTATAGACTTGACGAGTGCCCCATTGATTTTGAATGAAGTTTATGTAGTGGAGAAGCTTCTCTCATAGTCATTTTGATGAGATTATAAAAATTTTTGGTTTAATTTTGAGAGATAGAGACACTCACTTTCTCCGCCCAAAATCCAACGGCAGAGGTGACTGAAATGTTTGTACACTAAGATTGTCTTATGACTCCTTCTGTTTTCACTTATGAAATTGAAAGCACAATTGGTATTTAGAGTCCACACTATCTTTTTGTTAAAGGGAGTGAAGAATTATTGAAAAAAGTGGAGTTTTGAACACTACACTGTAAGATTTGTAAGGATATTTTTGGCTGAGCGATAGCGAAGCCCTTGCCGTGTTTGGGCGCTCCCAAAAGTGACTGGTCGTGCGTCTGTCCCTCTGTATGTAATCACTCACGTTTCTCAGCAACTACTGAACGAATAGTATCCAAATTTCACACCTGATGTCTCCTAAACATCCTACAGGGGGAGTTTATCTCAGATTAACAATTATCATCGTTTGAAATATTCAAAACATAGTTTTGAACTAGGTAATTAGCGTGGTTAGGTTGGTAGCAGTGTGTGGCTGACCAATTTCTCATACCGGCTGCCGCGCTTGCAAGCCGTCTGCAAGACGGGACGGCACTTTTGCAAATAAACAAACTGAAGAGCAAAGGGGCTTTGAAATATGTTCTGAGTTACTTTTTTAATATTCTAGTATGATTGAAACCCTTCCGGAATGTCAACAGAGGAAAATACGAAAACTGAAAGTGAGAATGGTTTGCGTGTTTCGTTCCCCTCTCCCCCCTCCCCCGTCACAGGGGAATCTTCCTTCAGGTCAGTGCACTGTAAGTGTAGTTGTGGATTGTAAACAGAATTTTCTTTGCCTTTGTGTGCATTTACTGATTTTATTCTCTCTAGTACTATCCCTATTTTTAAAATTCAAAGTAAATCAAATCAGGTAAATGCATGAATAACTTCTGTTGAAATTAGAAGACATGTTAATTGTCTTGGTTTGTCTCGGGAAATGACATTCTATTGCAATGCTGCAAGCCGACATAAATATTCTAGTACTAACATCTATTGATTAAAAGAATCCACATAGAGATGTATTTAGTGCAATGAATAAGCCATATATTTAGTGCTAACAGATTTTGAATTGATGTTGTGTTCAATGAGACGATTCAGATTTTGAGCGGTGGGTGACTTGGTAATTGGATTTAATGACACGATTCCTTTCACTTCACCAAAGTTTGTGTCCGACAACTGGAACTAAGTATTGGTAAATGGTTTAAAAGCTGGCTCTCTGAATGTAAGCCCAATGTGAATACTATACTGTATTCTTTTACTCCAAAGATAAAATATCAGGAGCCGTGAATAAGGTAAATTATGTTGGCGTATGGAGCAACAAGTGGCCTCTGCTTTGGACTTCATGAGACGATTCACTGAATTTGACAAAACTTGGTCTCCGTCGAATGCTTCAGATCAGCCTGCCCTAAACTCAGGAGTCATTTAATATAAACTATGATTACATATTCCAGTCTATTGTTTAATTCACCGGTTTTAAATGAAAGAATGACAAAAGGCTTCTCAAATATAACTAATAAATTTGTGAATTCATTAGTTTGCAGAAAAAGATGTATCGAATAGTGAGTCAAGCAGATGAGTAGCTAATTAAGCGATTCAATGCTGGCAATGGAATGTTACTCGACTGAAGGAATCGCATTGGTGTGGCATCAGGGTATTGGTGACGACAAAGGGTGATCTATGAAGACCAACCCAGACCCATTCTTTACCCATGATTGATCAATTGATACCAATATTTTTCAATTGAATCTCATATTGATTCTTGGAGTTTTTGGAGCGCTGATTATGAAAACCACTTCCATTTCTACCCCGGAAAATCTCATCTCAAATTGGGTCATTTCGGACCAAAATTTTCAGGTGAAGTTTTATATTGTTTCCTGCAGTGTTTGATGAGCTGAACTCAAAAATGACTTCCAAATTTTTTCCAGACTCACGCTTTGCCAAATTTTGGCCAAATTTGGACCAAAATTTTGGAATCGAGAACAGTTTTATGTGTGCTGATAACGAAAATCACCTCCATTTCGACTCCAGACTTATATTTTCATCCCAAATTAGGTCATTTTGGACCAAAATTTTCAAATCGAGTTTTATATTGTTTCCTGCAGTTTTTGGTGCGCTGAACTCAAAAATGACTTCCAATTTTTTCCCAGACTCACGCATTACCGAATTTTGACCAATTTTGGACCAAAATTTTGGAATTGAGTTTGACGTTGATCCCTACAGTTTTTTTGTGTGCTGATAACAAAAATCACTTCCATTTATACCCCAGACCTACATTTCACTCAATATGAGCCCACAAGCTGCGCATTTCGTCAACTTAAGCAAAGTCCGAAGTGCACAAATTCGCATCGCTCAGCCACACTACGCGCCCACACTAAACGGCGCGTACCCCTAGTTTTAGTGAGAGAAGGCTTCTCTCTAATTTTTAAATAGAGCTCAGAGAAAAAACATATTGTTTTCCTTTAGTCATCAGTGCTCTATGAAAACGGCCTGCCTGCTACTCCGTGCGCTTTTAAATCAGACTCCTTTCATTTTATTTTTTGGGTTTAGTATTGTATTCCTTTTTTTGTTTTTTCAACTATTGTATTCCTTTTTTTGTCTTTTTTAAAAATTTTTGGGGGGATTTTTCTCTTTTTAAGCCTCTCTTATTGCCTGATAAATGGCTTCTTTGATGAAATCTTTATGATAAGACATCAGCATTAGAGGTTTATGAGGATTGGGCGGATACTTCAGTAAAGTAGAGTCAGTAACGAAACAAACGTGTTGAATTTAATGCGCAGATCAATCAGGAGAGCCGATACAAAGGAGGTCAGTCATTATATATCAAAAGATCAAAGAGAACAGGAAGAACATTTAGCCAATCAGAAACATAGACCAGGAATGACCATCAGAACTACCAACTGTAGGATACAAAATTAAAATACAATACCCTCCCTTAATTTTGGCAAGCGTACAGACATGACGATATTAACAAATCGTATACAAAACTCAAAAGTGAAAAGTTAAAGTTACACGGCCCGAAATAAAAGTATCACAAGGCAAGTGAAGTTAAATTTGCACGGCCAACAAGATAAAATTATCACAAGGCAAGTAAAAACGTATAAAAATAATACTGTTCACAATCACAGATAAAATGAATTTAACATTGCAAAAATTCACTAAATGAGAGATCAAAAATGAAAATTAACATTGCAAAGTTTACTACTTAAGAAAAACAAGAATCATTTAACATTGCAAAGTTTCTTTAAGCAAAAAGGGAAATTAATTACAAATCGTAAGCAAGCTAAATAAGAGCTCTAGTAATTAACACAGCAAAAACATTTTACCTATAATCACAAAATTATGGCAAACTAGTCACACACATGAAAAATAAAATAGGAACAAATTAAATACATGACTAAAGAGGGAAGCTACATTACAAACCACACAAGCCCAAAGACTTCAAACACTTACAGAACTTCAATTTAGCAAGAGGTTTAGTAAACACATCTACTGGCATATCTAAAGTGTTCATGTACTTCACAGAAATTTCACCACTCTTTGACACTTGTTTGAATGTAGTGGAACCTCACATCAATGTGCTCGGTTCTCCTCTTCCTCGAGTCGTTCCCAACCATGGCCTGGGCAGACTTGTTGTCGTTGAAGAGGACGGCTGGTGAGGTGGTGGAGCCAGGGCAGAACTCCTCCAGCAGGTTCTTCGTGAAAACACACTGTTAAAAATTATGTTGTAATTTAGCAGTAAATATGTTGCTAATTTTCTTAGCGATCAAAGTTGTTTTCAAATGACTTTTGTTGTTTACTAACGAGTTGCGTCGTTAGTCCTCAAGATTTTTGTAAACCGATAGACAGCCTTATTTGCATCAATTTTTATTGCCGATTAGGTCACAGACCTAGTAGAGTCCCGGTTACCCCGCAGTAACCACTTCTTAGATTGTCCGGGTTGTTTGTACGCAGCAAAATATTGTTTTAAAA